GCACTTAGGAAGGCGGAGGCAGGTGGATCACTTGAAGTCAGGAGTTCAAGACCAGCCTGGCCAACATGGTGAAACCCTGTCTCTACCAAAAATACAAAAAAAAAAAAAAAAAAAAAAAAAAAAAATTAGCTGGGTGTGGTGGCACGGACCTGTAATCCCAGCTATTTAGGGGGATGAGAATTGGGAGGTGGAGGTTGCAGTGAGCCAAGATCGTGCTATTGCACTCCAACCTAGACAACAGAGCAAGACTCCATCTCAAATAATAATAATTCTATGGAATCAGTGTCAAATGCCGGCCCCCGCCAAGGTGCATCAGTGCCCTGGGCAGTCAAGGTCCCAGGAGGTGAGGAGGCAGTGGATCTTCTCTCCACCTGGGATCAAGCCTGCAGCTTCGGACCCTCCTGGGACCCTGTACCCACCACTGCCCTGCCCTCCTGGCGTCTCTGGGGAGTGAAGCAGGGTGGGCTCTGTAAGAGTTAAAGAAAGAGGAAAGATGGCCGAGCATGATGGCTCATGCCTGTAATCCCAGCACTTTGGGAGGCTGAGGCAGGTGGATCATGAGGTCAAAAGATTGAGACCAGACTGGTCAACATGGTGAAACCCTGTCTCTATTAAAAATATAAAAATTAGCTGGGAATGGTGGTGCATACCTGTGGTCCCAACTACTCTGGAGCCTGAGGCAGGAGAATTGCCTGAACCCAGGAGGTGGAGGTTGCGGTGAGCCAAGATGGCACCACTGCACTCCAGCCTGGTGACAGAATGAGACTCCGTCTCAAAAAAAAAAAAAAAAAAAAAAAAAGGAAAGGAACATGAAAAGTGGCTCAACAGTCAAAGACAGGTTTATTTTGGAGAATGAACCGGAGAGGGACCTCTGGCCAATTTCAGTCAAGAGCGATCTCTCTTACAGACTAAGGATCATTAAGGGTTTAGGAAGGTGGGAGCTTATCGCAAGCTTAGCGTGTTTCCATGTGAGGGAAAGTTTATCATCAGGATTGAATGTCTCATTGGAGGGGAGGTCATCTCGGGGTTGGCATGTTTCAGGTTGGGGATGTTACTCATGGTTTATGGTCGTGTTGACTTTAGCCATTAGGCTGATGTGTTTTGGGCTGGCTTTAGGCAGTTTTTTAATCAAAGGGAACTTAAAATGGCAGTGTTTATCCAAGACGGTGATGCTCTTGTCTGTCAATCCAGACTCTTTAGTTATAAAAGGACGAGGGGCGCCGTGTTCTTTCTGGCTACTTCCTGCTTGGCGGGGGGACATCATTGTTATGGGGCAATGAACCCAGTGCAGGAGTGGAAGAGGGTGATTTGTTCTTGGTAGCACTCTTTATTTCGGGGGATTAGAGGCAGTGCCTGCTGCCTCTAATCTAATCTTCAGTTCACAGGCCTTTAAGAAAGCATAGCTTAGGTTTCAGTGATTTCTCCTTAGGAAAAATGGGGAAAAAGGAAAAAAAAAAGAAAAAAAAAAGGAAAAAAACTGAAAACATTATTTTGGATACTTGTAGCCAGAAAAATTAGAATTTAATCCAAATAATAAAAACTGAAGACCATCAGGCAAGACTAGAATTTAACAACAGTGTAACTGTAGTTTTTGAAACATAATTTTTCTCTTTCCAGTTTTCCCATTTTTATTAAAAGACAAATCATGGTAGGACTGGCTTGCTTTGTTACACTCACTGTATTATACTTTGCTTTATTATGCATAATTATTCATATACAGTGCGTCAAGAATAATTATGTTTTATCTAGGCCTTTTAAATTGGCTTTGATGGAACTTTGTTCCTTAGGAGGAATCTGAGATAAGACCTCTTTAAAACCCATACCCAGCTGTGGATTTTTACCATTAAATACCTATAAGTTGGGCTAATTTCTTTCCTCTTGAGGTTCCAGGATAACTTGAGGTTCCTGGCCTGTCAGAAAGTGACATTCTTTACTCACCACAGGTCAGAACCCTGTTCAGGAACTGTGTGCACAGAGTGTGAGGCCAGTTTCCAAGGGCCTTATTGACTTCATAAGGCAAGTTTGATTCCTCAGAAGAGAGCATACCATTCCAGTCAAAGCCCTGCGAAAATAACCAGTTTCTCCAATTGTGTTCAGTTATAAAAGAAGCAGATTTTTATTGCATTTATGCAAAAGTTATATTGCCATAACTTATGAATACATAGGGCCGGGCGCGGTGGCTCAAGCCTGTAATCCCAGCACTTTGGGAGGCCGAGGCAGGTGGATCACGAGTTCGAGAGATCGAGACCATCCTGGTCAACATGGTGAAACCCCGTCTCTACTAAAAATACAAAAAATTAGCTGGGCATGGTGGCGTGTGCCTGTAATCCCAGCTACTCAGGAGGCTGAGGCAGGAGAATTGCCTGAACCCGGGAGGCGGAGGTTGCAGTGAGCCGAGATCGCGCCGTTGCACTCCAGCCTGGACAACAAGAGTGAAACACTGTCTCAAAGAAAAAAAAAAAAGAAAACTTAAAAAGTTCAAAAGATCACTCCAGTCTCCTATTAGTTCCGTTCATGCAGTTAATTCCTGACCTGCTTGATATTAATGAATGTTTTAGTTCAAGAGTCCAGAACATTTTTCCTCTATTATGATGTCACAATCTCTAAAGTTATCAGAAACCTGCATTCAAGAGCACCTGTTAGAGCTTTGCAGCTGATTATAAAAACCACCTTCTGGAGAGGTAACGAGACAACAATTGTTTATGGATGACAGACAGTTCTAGGGCAGCCGCAGTTAAAGACAATTGACAAGGATACGTGTTACCTCTGTAGTACACAGTAATTTTCACATAACAGCTATAATTATTACTGATAACGTGCTCTAAGATATATCAGAATTATAGGAGTCTCCCATAACTTTGGAACACATACCAATAACACATTTATACAAACATAGCTTGAAGAAAGCCAAATGCCATTTTATATTTGACAAGGCTTTCTGTATGACTTTAATAGCAAATAAGCCAAATTTCACCTTTACATTAGTGTATTATTCATGGTAAACCCCAATTTTTAATAAGACCTTACAGATACATTTACCCAATTTTAATGTTTGACCATAAGGTTAGATTTTCATAGACCTTTTATACACCAATATGATTTTTGTTAAAGAGCACGTTAGTGTTCTAAGAGAAGCCCATTGTGCTTTTATTTTAATGCTTAATTTACAGAAAAACTGGATAATACTCCTTTAACTTTAGCGAGTATGTTTACACACAGAATTTCCTTTACAATTAACCTTTTACAACTTGCTTAAACCTTCCTTTTTATCTTATCCAACTTATAACAATCCTTTAATCTTTTAATTTAGGCAAAAATCCACATTCTAATGCCTCCTCATCATCTTTTTACCGAAAGTATATTTTACTTTCCTTACACACCTTGCATGTTTTTCAGTAGTTCTAAATGCATGTTATACTTTTAGCAAGCTTTACTTTTGGCGAAAACCTTGGTAAGTTCAGGACTTTGATGACGTACTAGTTGTGAAGCCTGGTGCTTAGACAGAAGTGCAGGTAACATCTGGCTTGTTCCAGCATTTAACTCCATGTGTCCTTGGCCTTCCCTAGCAGCTAAGAGTTATAGTGGCTTTTTATGAAGCATTTAGGAGGTCTCATCACCTTCAATTGTACATTTCTTGCATAAATTCCCTTTCATAAATTATTTCATGACTTATACAATCTCTGACATGCCTCAAGTTTCTGATTTGTCTTAAACATCCCTCTTTTTAAACAACAAGTTAATTTGCTTTAGGACAAGAATTTACCATACAAGATTCTTTCTCCTATAAAAAAATTTTTTTTTGGCCAGTCACAATGGCTCACACCTGTAATCCTAGCACTTGGGGAGGCTGAGGCGGGTGGATCACGAAGTCAAGAGATCGAGACTGTGGGAAGTAGGAAAGTTCCTCTTCAACGTTTCCTTTCTTGTTAAAGAATAGTTGTAAGTGTTAGAAGTAATGGTTTGTTTTAAGCACTTTGTCAAAGCTGTCTTGCTTTTCTTCACTCTCCTTAAGCCCTTTCCTACATAGCGGTCAGATGTGCTTACCGTGATATGTTCTTTGTCCTTGTACTTTATCCAGGATGTCTGTGCTGGACGTGCTCACGGGCATGTCGCAGCTCGCAGCCTACGCCCCTTCCTTATCTAGACTTCCTTTTTGTTCTCCATGCTTTTACCTGTTTAGAAAAGTTTTAAGTTATTAGCCAATTGGGTTTTAGTTTAGATTGTGAGGTCTAGCTCCAACCAAGGGAGATCAGACACAGCAGTGAGGACGACCCCAAATGCATAAAAAGTATGCATGTCTGCTTTCCTTTGTTTGTCGTACTCTCCTAGGAAGATGGCTAACAGGAGCACCCTTTCTGCAGAAAGTAAAATTGCCTTGCTGAGAGATCCTTTGTCTCAGTGCTGACTTTTCTTTGCAGCACGGAGCATCTGTATGCAACAGAGGCCATCCTGGCCAACGTGGTGAAACCCGTCTCTACAAAAATTAGCTGGGCATGGTGGCAGGTGCCTGTAATCCCAGCTACTCTGGAGGTTGAGGCAGGAGAATCACTTGAACCGGAGAGGCAGAGGTTGCAGTGAGCAACCTCTCACTGGCCACTGCATTTCCGCCTGACAACAGAGCAGGACTCTTGTCTCAAAAAAAAAAAAAAAAAAAAATAAAATAAAATAAAATGCCTTTTTGATTTTTGGGAAAATATTCAAATAATGAGATATCTATTGTTTAACTTTAGATTCAAAATTACGATGTTTGTTTACGAGTATTGATTTCATTACATTTATTCTAATTATTTACCTGGGTGGTTTATGAAAACTAAAGTTATTAAAGTTACAAAATCGCTGTTGCGGAGGGCAGACCTGCCTTTCCCGGTGCTGAGAGAAAGCCCAGGAAGGCAGGCGTCCCTGTCGGCCCAGATGCCGCCGGGCCCCGCCCCAGGTCCCGCCCGCCCCATCCCCGGGGGCGCCCCCGCCGGCCCCGCCCTCCCAGGGTGCCCTCCGCGCCCCGGGCCGCCTCCCGGCAGTCCCTGAGTCCTGCAGGCCCCGCGTCCCCGCCGCACCCCGTCCACACCCGCTGTCCCCGGGAGGCATGGCGCGCGCGGTGGGGCCCGAGCGGAGGCTGCTGGCCGTCTACACCGGCGGTACCATCGGCATGCGGAGCGAGCTGGGCGGTGAGTCCTACCCAGTGCCCCGGGCGGGGGCGGGAGCCTTGGGCCGTCCTGCACTCAGGGTGGGTGTGGGGGGTCAGATCCGCACCTGGATGGATGTGGCGAGGGTGAGGGTGCGGGCTGGGGTACCTCTCCTTCGGTCCGGCCTTTCAAGGGCCGCCGCCGTCCTGGCGTTTGGAGCCGCCACCTGGAGAGAGGAGGTCGCGGCCCGGTCGTCGCCGTGGCGGTGCTCTCGCAGCGCCTTGCGACCCTGGGGCCAGGCCCCCTGTGCTGCCGCTGCGCCTCTCAGGGCCAGCGCCCTGGAGCCCTGGAATATGGGGCGGGAGGGGCCCAGGGCATCGCCTGCTTCCCCTGCCCCGGACACACAAGCCCGGAAGGCTTAGGAGGCTGCGAGGACCCCCTCACCAGCGACACCCTGCAGGCTGTCCCCATCCCCTGGGGTCCTGGCCCGGCAGTAGTGCCTGGCACTTGCGGGGACACACACGTTCACATCCAAGGTGGCCTCAGAGCCTGCTTCCTCTGCCCCGGCATGGACCTGGTTGATCAGAGACCAGCAATTGCACCTGGGCTGCGTTCTGCCTGGGTAGGGTCAGTGCCTGGGACAGGCGCCGAGCTCCATGGGACTCCACACAGTGCTGCCAGCCTGGGCTGGGCACAGGAAGGATGGTAGCTTGGGGAACCTGAGGCCACCAGGATGGGGAGAGGACAGTTGCACTGGAGCCCCCAGAATGCCCAGGTGCTCCCAGGAGGAGCCTGGGGCCTTCACGTGGGCACTGCTGTGATGTGGGGTGCTCCCACCTCGGGGCCAGGACAGTCCCCTCGGGCCATGTCCAACTTCTTTGCAACCCTCCACGGTCCACTGGCTGCCTTTCTCTCGGGAGCCCTTTCAACTCCTCCTCCCACTCCCTGCTGCCCCAGCCGGCCCCTCTCCCCATACTCCTGCTTGTGCCCACGACAGTTCTCACTGCTGAGGCAGCTGGGACCCTCTCTGGCTCTGCCAGAGCTCCAGGGCCTCCCCTGGCAGGACCAGAACATTCTCTTGTCCCTTGCCAGTCTGCCAACCACTTCCCGGCCCCTCCTTTCCCTGTCCATTCTCACGACCTGTTCCCCGGCAGTTGCCCCTCCCGGCCACCCCTTCATGCTGAAGTGGCCGCTCAGAAGCCACCAGTGCTCTCTTGGTGCTCTCAGATTCCACCCGCCGCACTGTGGCCGGTGCAGACCCCTGGGGAGGCCCACTCCGTGCCCAGCCCAGGAGACAAAGCCCAGTGGGGCTCGCCCACAAGGGGCACAGGCACCAGGAATGTGGCTGTCCAGCTACCGGGACCCTATTCTGCCCTCTCCCTCTCTCTGCCTGTGACTGGGACAAAGTCGTTCGCAGCTTGGCAAATGCTCCTGTGTGATACTCCACTGACAGAGTGACATGGTTCCTGTGCTTGGCCCTCATAAGCCAGTGACAGAGGCTGCCATCGAAGGGTTGGCATGCATTAAGGAGCTAGTCCCAGGGGCGGGATTTGCCAGGGCCCAGTGTGTGGGTGGCGTGGATTTTTGGGGGTGGCCCAGGGAGGGCTTCTCTGAGGACACAAGGCCTGCAGGACAAAGGGTGGGGGAGGGCAGGGGAGCCCAGCGGGCTGGAGCCGGCCAGAGCTGCCCCCAAGTGGGGAATAGATCCGTGGACTCCGGGCCTCGTCTGACGGCCCTGACGCTACCCCACCAGGCTTGGTGTGTGGCCAACTGCAGTTTTGTTGAGCTCAACACAAAGGTCTTGGGTGGCTGGAGCTTCAGGGACAGGCGGACTCTGACTGCAACCCCCCCACACCCGTTGTGCCGGGCCCTGGGTGCTCACTGCAGCAGCCCGTGGGCACGCTCACACACGTGCACCATGTTTCTGGCTGTGAGGTCCGGTGTCTGGGTGGGAAACGAGAGACTTCGATGCTGGAAACTGGGTGTGGGGTGCCAGTCTTCAGGCCTGAAGCAGCCTCCTGAGAGCCTTCAGTGCTCCGTTCACTGGGTCGCCAGGCTCCGGACAGAGGAGGAGGCCAGCAGGCTCCGGCTTGTGCTCAGCAGCCTGTCCTTGTGTAGTTACGAGGTCACCCCCCGCAGTTGCTAGCTGACCCATGTGGGGCGTCCGCTTCTAGGAACCTGCAGGAGCGGGTCCCTCCCGAGCTCTCGTGAGCTCCGAGCAGCCAGCCTGTCCCAGCAGCAAGGGCAGGTGTCAAGAACCCCTGTGGAGGCGAGTGTCTCTCTTATCGCAGGAGGAGGCAGCATCTCCTGGCTCCACACTGCGGGCTTCTGGGAGGAAGCTGCTGTCAGCCCCAGGCTCTCCTGTGCCCCCGTGGCTGGCACTCTCACTGCTCACCCTCTCCACTTTAGAAAGGCTTCTAGGGAGCACATGGGTTCAGCCCAGAGGATGAAGGAGGAAGAGACAGGAGATCTGGTCTCCACTGTCTCCCTGATGAGGGGGCCACCCACAGCCACGGAGCAGCGGGGAAGCCAGGGGCCCGGGCTGTGGGAGACTAGGGGCCTCGGGCCAGCTCTGCTGTGTGACAACAGTCAGGAGTCCTGGGATGCGCAGAGCCTCATGGTGTGGGAAGTGATGAGGCTTCCAGGAGGGAGGGCAGCACTCACAGGCCAGGGAGGGAGCCAGGCCCCTCCACGCCCCCATGAGTGCTGAGGTCCAGCCCCGCCAGACGTCAGTGATTTATTCCCTCCGCACTGCTGACGTGGGCTCTGGCCTTCCCGGGGAGGTGCGAGGGGAGTGCTGTTGGAATGGCTTCTCCGCCTGCTGGTCAACAGTGGCCTGTGGGTGGAACGCTGCACACCTGGAGCTCTGCCAGAGTTCAGGGAGGGCAGAGGCGATGGCAGCGGGCACAGCCCTAGACCCACCCCTTCTCTGAGTTCATCAAAGGTTTCACAGGTCAAAGGGCATAGTGAATCCAAAAAGAGCTGGTAACCCCAAGCCCAAGCTGGCATCAGTGGCCACGTTCTGCGCAGCTGAGAAATTTGAAGGCTTCCTGTGCAAGCTGGGAACCCCACCTGCTTGCCAGCCTGCCTGAATCCCTCCTGAGCCTGGCTCCTGGCAGGCACAGCAGGGAGGGCAGAGTTTTGGGGCCAGGCAGCTAAGAGCAGCTCCCTGCCCACTGGCCACAGCAGCCGAGACTGTCGGTGGAGTGACGCCCGTGGCTTCTCGGTCACTGCAGTGGCCTCTGTGCTCTTGGCCTGGACCTCCTTCCTGAATGGGTGCTACATGTTCACAGGCTCTGTGCCCAAGCTTGGCTTCACGGCACCCACTGTCCTAGTGAGCAAAGCCTCCCTTCCAGGTGCTTGGCAGGGCCTAGGAGTTTCTGCGTCACCAGCGAACTCAATCACCTGCCTGGCTGGGCTGGGGAAGAGGTCCCAGGCAGAGGCCGGACGGTTCAGGTTCTGGAGCTCTTGAAGATTTTGGAGGGCCCTCATTGAGAAAGTACAAGTTACAAAATCAGAGTTAGATGTGAGAGCCGGTGTTTATTTAAAACAATAAAAGAAAATTGCCCTGGCTGACCAGGCATGATGGCTCACGCCTGTAATCCCAGCACTTTGGGAGGCCGAGGTGGGCGGATCAGTTGAGGTCAGGAGTTCTAGACCATGGTGAAACCCTGTTTCTACTAAAAATACAAAAAAAAAAAAAGCCAGATGTGGTGGCGGGCACCCGTGGTCCCAGCTACTGGGGAGGCTGAGGCAGGAGAATTGCTTTGAACCTGGGAGGCGGAGGTTGCAGCGAGCTGAAATAGTGCCACTGCACTCAAGCCTAGGTGACAGAGCGAGAACCTGTCTCAAACAAACAAACAAACTGGTGCCCTACACACCTGTTGGAACGGCTGCTGACGCCCACAACTGACTGCTGGGGGAGGGATCGGACCCCCGGCATCGGAACGTGGTCCACTCGCAGCTTGGCAAGAAAAATTTACTGGCGACAGTTTAGGTCTGAATTTGGCCAGGCACGGTGGCTCATGCCTGTAATTCCAACAGTTTGGGAAGCCAAGGCGGGCAGATCACTTGAGGTCAGGAGTTTGAGACCAGCCTGGCCAACATGGTAAAACCTCATCCCTACTAAAAATACAAAATTAGCCAGGTGTGGTGGCACATGTCTATAATCCCGGCTACCCGGGAGACTGGGGCAAGAGAATCGAGAATCGCTTGAGCCCTGGGGCTGGAGGCAACAGAGTGACACTCTATCTCAAAAACAAAAAAAGAAAAAAAAAAATTGCCCAGAGCTCCTGGGATCAAATGATCGTCCTGCGTCAGCCTCCCGGAGTTCTGGGATTACAGGCATGAGCCAAAACAACCCCTGCAAAAGCACAGGTACAGAGTTTTGCTCAGAGAGGAGGACGCCAAGGGAGTTTAGTGTGTCTTTGGCCAATTTCCGTCCCCCGGCAGGGAAGGCAGGGACCACGTCCTCCTCCGGCCTGGCCGCGTCACCACTCTGCAGTGTTCCTGGAAGTTCCTGGAAGCCGCTGCCCCACGAGCCACCTTGCACAACGTGAGCGTGGCCCACAAGACCAGACCACATGTGCCCCCTCCACCTCCCCACGAGCGGGTCCACAGACTTCCACAGACACCCCAGCTTCACCCGTCGGAGGATGGGGAGTGACGTTTTGTTTCCTGTGGCCACTGTGCCGGGCGGTTGAACACCGCTGGAGGCCGGGGCCTGAGAGGGGTTACCCGGGCTGAGCCAAGGTGCCACAGGGCCCCAGTCCCTCTGGAGGCTCTGCAGGAGGAGCCACCCTGCCACCTCTGCTGCGTGGTGGCTGCCACACTCCTTGGCTTGTGGCTGCATCTCCAAGGGCCGCTCTGCCCCGTCGTCACACGGCCTTCTCCTCCGTGTGGCCCGCCTGCCGGTGCCCTGTGGCCTCCCTCTTGTAAGAAATCATGAGAGGCATTTAGGTCTCACCTGAACAGTCCAGGGCCACCTTCTGCCTCACAGCCCCTAACATCATCACATCTGCAAAGATGCTTTCATATGAGGTGACACCACAGGTGCAGAGGATTGGGACGGGGACATCTTTTTTATTTTTATGTATTTAATTTTTTTGAGACAGAGTCTCACTCTGTCACCCAGGCTGGAGTGCGGTGGTGCGATCTTGGCTCACTGCAGCCTCCGCCAGCCAGGTTCAAGTGATTCTCCCACCTCAGCCTCCCGAGTACTTAGGACTAGAGGCGCCTGCCGCCACACCCAGCTACTTTTTGTATTTTTCATAAAGACGGTTTCAACATGTTGGCCAGGCTGGTCTTGAATTCCTGACCTCGTGATCCACCCTCCTCGGCCTCCCAAAGTGCTGGGATTCCAGGCGTGAGGACCATGCCCGCCTCTGGGATGTGGATGTCTTCTGGGGTCCTTTTCCAGCCTACCACACATGAGACGGGGACACCTGGACACGTGTGGGGGGGATGCTGAGCCCCTGATGCCTGGGGTCTGAGGTTGGGCCCTTGGGGTTCACCAGGCAGAGTCCAGGCCTATGTTCTGGCAGCCCGTGTCCTGGCTGCACCTTTGGCGCCTCGGAGGGTGGACGGGCAGACAAACACGTGGGCTCCCCCGTCTGCTGGCTGAGCATGCTGGTGGGGATGATTTTGTCAGCAGCTGCACCTCAGCTGACCTGCATCGTCCACTCCTCCGGAAATGTCCTGGGGGCCCATGGGGCTTCGTGCAAGGCCAGGGGAGACCGTGGGTGCTGCAGACCTCCACGGGGCCAACGGGCTGGTGTTCCGGGGCCAGCAACTTAGCAGTCGGAGATGTGGAGACCTGGCTGAACCCAGCGGTGGAGGGGGATGGCGGGGAGGGCACAGCTGGAGGGATATTAGAGGGGGCCGCTTTAACGCCCAATTTTGGGGTAATTTGTGAACCAGTGACAGGAGATGGGTATGGCTGCAGAGGGCGAGGGGGGAGGCGGGTGACCCTGGCTGGGGCTGCGGGACAGGATGGGGCGTTGCTGCTGGTGGAGGGAAGGGAGGGCCGGGAGGGGGCTTTGGGGCTGGCTGGAGGCCCTGGAGGGGTGGCTGAGGGGTCAGGGCTTTGTACTGAGTGGCTGGCCCAAGGGAATGAGTGGTGTGGCCAGGTGCCCATTTAGGGGACGGAACTGAGATGCAGAGGCTGTAGGAAGGTGGCAGAGCTGCTGGGGTGGGGCCAGCCTGTCTGTGCATTTGCTGTACGTGAGCCCCCCACCAGGTCTGGGAGCTGGGGGAGGGACCTGGGCTGGACCTGGGGGAGTCACACACAGCCTGTGCCCTCTGGGAGCTTGAGGGTCAGTGAGGGAGCATGTGGGAACAGCACTACAGCCTGGGCATCTGGGAGGGCTTCCTGGTGGTGGTGCCCTAATCTGGACCTTGAGGCACGGATGAGGCAGGACTTCCAGGTTGATCCCAAAGCACATCCACAGTGAGGCCAAGGCTGAGACCCGGGGGTCTTCATGGGGAGTGTGGACCCAGCATTTGGCGAAGGGGTGGGGGCAGGGCCTGGGAGGAGCCACTGGGCACTTGGGCATAGCTCCTGGGGCTGTCCTGGTGCGAAATGAGGAATCATCAAGGGCTCCAAGGCAGGAAGCGATGGCTTCTAGACAGGGTGACCCCCACTCTGGGGTCCCAGGGCAGGCATGGCCCTTCCTCCCAGTCTCTGACTTTCATGAGGCTAGAGCCCCATTCCACCAGCTCTAGTCCCGCCCCTCAGTGGGTAGAAGGCCGTGGCTGCTGGCCCCTGACCCCACTCTCCACCTGGACTCTGCCTACAGTGCTCGTGCCTGGGACGGGCCTGGCTGCCACCCTGAGGACGCTGCCCATGTTCCATGATGAGGAGCACGCCCGAGTCCTCGGCCTCCCTGAGGACACCTTGGTGCTGCCGTGAGTGTGGGTTCCTCCCAGGCCCGGGCAGGGCATGGCTGCTGGGGGGCGCCGATCCCGAGGGTGGACACTGCTGGCCAGGCCCACATGAGCCATTTGCTCACCCCCATCTCCGACATCCCCGCACCTTAGGGGGCTTTAGGACTGACCAGCAGCCGCCCTCCACCAGCGCCTGAGCCTCGAAGAGCTCTGGGAGGAGGGCAGGACCTGCGGGTGCCCCTGTGCCTGGTCCCACCTTCCCCGTTCACCCTCCTTCCACACCCGCAGCCAGGCTGGTTTGGCAAGTGTGATAGGGGTGCCCCTGTCTAGGGACCCTGTATCTCAGGAGCCGGCTGTCCCAGGCAGCCTTGCCCTCAGCAGGGAGGTCCCTCCATTTCTCAGCTCTGGGCCTAGCTTCCTGAACTGATCCGCACACAGCTGGGGTGAACTGGCAGTCGCCCCTCGTGGTGGCTGACCGCCGCAGCCAACGCAGCCCAGCTTCCTCCAAGCGTCCTCTCCTGCCTGGGCGGGGCCCGGTCCCAGCTGCCTCTCCGAGCTAGTGTCGGAAGAGGACTGCTGGCAGCGCCATATCCTGGCGCAAGTCCTCGCCCCTGTGGGGGGCTCCAAGTGGGAGGGGGGCTCCAGATGGGGGGGGCCCTGGTGGGAGGGGGGCTGGGCCCTGTAGCTGGATGCTGCGAACTTGCTGTGTGCAGAGCCCTTGGTGTAGGGGCCCCAGCTCAGCCGGAGGGGACAGAGCGGGTCGGGGGATTTAGAGCAGGAGGAGGTGCAGAGCTGGAGCCCTCCTACTGCTCCCGTCCCGCAGCCCGGCCAGCCCCAACCAGAGGATCCTCTACACCGTGCTGGAGTGCCAGCCCCTCTTCGACTCCAGTGACATGACCATCGCTGAGTGGGTTCGCGTTGCCCAGACCATCGAGGTAGTGGGGCTGGAGAGTGCTGGGTGGGGCTCTGGGGTGTGGGCGGGTCTGTGAGGTGTGGGTGGGGCTGTGGAGTGTGGGCGGGACTAGGGAGTGTGGGTGGGGCTGTGGAGTGTGGGTGGGGATGTGGGGTGTGGGCGGGACTGTGGAGTGTGGGCGGGACTATGAAGTGGGTGGGGCTGTGGCGTGTGGGTGGGGCTGTGGAGTGTGGGCGGGACTATGGAGTGGGCGGGGCTGTGTGGGTGTGGGTGTGGCTGTGTTGTGTGGCTGTTGTGTGGGTGGGGCTTTGTTGTGGGTGGGGCTGTGGAGTGTGGGTGGGGCTGCGGGTATGGGCGGAGCTGGTGGATGGGCAGTGGCCTGCAGAAACACTCTGGGACAGGTGAGAAGCTGCAGGGTCTGAGGTGGAGTCGGCGTGCCCAGCCTGGGATCTGGAAGCATCTGGAAATGGCAGCTTCAGGAAAGGGCAGGGTCCACGTGTCAGAGCTCGGGGCAAGGCTCTGAGGCCCTCTCCCCCATGCAAGCTGTGGATGGGCGTATAGGGCGACTTCCAGGCGAGGACACAGTGGGAACAGCTGTCTTAGCCTGTCGCTGTTAGTACCTGGGGTATGCTGTGCGATGCTACCTTGAGGGCAGACAAGCTCCTGGCACCTGGCTGGTGACCTGCTCACTGCTCTCTGTCTGTCCCCTCCCCAGTTGGGGTCTTGGTGGGTTTAGGACCACAGCACCTCTGGCAGAGTCTTGTGGTTTACAGCGACCTGTCACCCTGCAGGCAGAACCGCCCCCTTCCCCGCAGGCAGAACTGCGCCCCCCATCAGCTTTCCTTCTCCATTCTCTGCCATCATAGGACGCTGCCGTGTTACCTGAGCTGCCTCCACTGGATGGGAGCCTCCTGCCCCTCCAGTCCCAATTCTCACCTGCTTCCCTTACAAACCCCCTGCTCCCCTGAGTGGGAACATCTGGGCTCCCCCTGTCCAGCAGCGGGGTGGGGGGCAGCACCACCCAGGACAGGCTGCTTCATTTGTGGCCGGCAGCCCTCAGAGGCCAGGCCTGACTGCATTTGAGGCCCACCGAGGGTGCCCTGCCATCCTTGCTGCAGGGACCGGCCCTGCCCAGCCTCACAAAGACCCTTCTCAGCGCAGGTGGCCCAGCCTGCCGTCTTTCCCTGAGTGGCCAGCAGAGGGTGCCCCTCCCCTTCTCCACCTCAGCTCCCCTGCAGTTCCCAGGCCTACCATGCTTGGTCTTTTAATAAAGGCCCACCAGGAGGCCCAGGCTAGGTATGGGGCTCTGGGCTCTTGGAACGGTGCCCTGGCAGCCACTGCCTGGGCTAGCCACCCTCCGGGGGGTGGTGCCAAAACATGTCCCTTCGTGGCCAGCCTCACTGCTGCCCTTCAGTGTCCTGGATAACCTGCTGGCTCCTGGCCATGGTGGTGACCTGACCCTGCAGGGGTCCCTGTTCCTACCGTTGTGTCCTTGCCTGACCTGTGCTCTGGGCTGCGAGGCTCATGTACCTCCACAGCCCCCTGCTGCCGTCGAGAGGCGCTCCCACCCTTGGGGAATGCGCAGAGGCCCCTCGGAGGGACCCATTCTTGCATGCTCTGAGGGGATCCCCAATGTGGTGGGTGCACCTGAGTGGCACAGGGGCAGGGAGAGCGTGGAGGTCCCAGGACCCCACGCCAGGGGCTCACCTTCCAGAGAGGGCCTTCCAGACCGGGGTGCCATGGGCGCCTCCCCCAGTCCCCCCTCTGCCTCTGGGCCCTCCCCCGCTGCTGCACCCTCCCCCACACCCGCTCCCTGAGGGGCCGCCTGCCTGAGCTCACCCCTCCTGCAGAGGCACTATGAGCAGTACCACGGCTTTGTGGTCATCCACGGCACGGACACCATGGCCTTCGCCGCCTCGGTGCTGTCTTTCATGCTGGAGAACCTGCAGAAGACCGTCGTCCTCACCGGGGCCCAGGTAACCCCAGGGCCCAGGGCTCCTAGGAATCGGGGCTTCCTGAGGCCACAGGGCAGGTTGGCACTGCGGGACCCTGAGCTTCCTGCTCAGCCCAGCAGCTCCTGAGGTGGCTGCTGCAGGGCTGGTGCTGGGGCTCTCGACTGCTCAGGTCCCATCCAGATGCCAGTGCCACCTGCCCCAGGGGTGGAGTCCTCTCCTGCTGGTGGCCCTGAGAGCTGTGAGGCCCCAGAGCACCCAGAGTCCCTCCCACCTCCACCCTGGGGGCACCAGGCATCCCTTCCTCTCCTCCCGATGCTTCCTCGAAGCTGCTGCCCACCTCGACGTCCGTGCAGCAGGGTGGCCAAACACAGAGCAGTTGTGGCCCTTCTCTCTGCCCTCTTTGGTCCTGCTCTTTTCTCCGCCCACTGTGGTTCCAGGAAATGCCATCCTGGGGCCCCTGGCGCACAATTTCCCCACCCTCACCCTCACCCTGCACAAATCCCACATGCCGTGGCCAGTGGCGTGTTTTGTAAACTGGGTTTGCGGGGACGTGGCAGGGAGGTCTGCTCGGGGCTGACTGGGGTCCCTGCTGCCTGTGTGTGGCAATGGGCACCTGCGTCCTCTGGGATCCTTTCCCACAACTGAGGCCAAGATCTCATGTGGGGAACCGATACCCATGTCACTTTGAGCTTGGTGGCAGCTCCGGAAAGCTCCATGGAGGCCCCCCTAGGAGGTCGGCTGGGTACATCGGGGAGGTGGCTCAGTCACCCCTTTCTGCTTGCCCGGCGCCATCTCCCTCTTCCCTCCAGAGTCTCCTGGGGCCGGCTGCACGCACTTGTTAGCGTCAGAGCAGTGCCTCATGCCCCGGAGCCCAAGAAGGAGGGACAGGGCTTGGGCTGCTTCTCCTCCTCCCAGACCTTCCCCAGCCCCGGGAGAGTGGAATGTCCCCTGGACCTTTCCATGGGGACCAAGGGCACATGGGCCCCAGGAACATTCACATGCTTGTTTTCCTAACCATGATGTTGGCCTGCGTTAGGGAAACTGAGGCTCATAGGCCAGGGGCTCACCCACAGCCACAAACCACGTGAGAGCTGAGCCAGGGAGGACCCAGGACCCAGGACTGCCGTCCCCGGCCAGGACTCTCTCCCTCCAGAGGCCCTGCACTGCCCACTGCCCGGCCACCTCCCCCTGAGGACCTGTGCAGAGACACGCTGCCCCCGCTGAGGCAGTCCTGCCCACCTGTGCCCTCCTGGGATGCACTGCTCAGTCAACCACAGGGCACGGTTGCCCATGCCAGACACAGGCAGCTGTGGGAGGGGCACTCTGCCTGGCATCCCCAGCAGTCCCTCCTCATCCCAGCCCACTCACCCCTCACCCTATCACCCTCCACTCAGCCCACAGTTCTGCCGGGGTAGTGAGGGATCTGTCCCGAGGGCCAGGCAGCCGGGCTGGGTAGCTGGGGTGGGAGGCCTGTGATGCGTTCTCCAGTATGGGGACCTGCTGGCCCTTGCTGACAGCACTGGGCACTTGGACCTGTAGAGGGAGCTGGTGGGTGGGTTGAGGCCCTGGGTGCAGGCTGGCATGGTCCTCAGGGACAGCTGTGGCTGGCGGCCTTGGAGCCAGGCTTACTGCCCGGCTGCGCTGAGCGCCCCGTCCCCAGGACTCCCATCCCCAGGCTGTGCACCGCAGTCCAAGCCTGTCCTCTGCCCCACACCCTGCCCGGGGCTCCTGGGCTTCCTCCCCTGCCTCTCCCCCAGGTGCCCATCCACGCCCTGTGGAGCGACGGCCGTGAGAACCTGCTGGGCGCACTGCTCATGGCCGGCCAGTATGTGATTCCAGAGGTACCCGCCCTGCTGCGTGTGGAGGTGGGGCAGGGGCGGGTTCCGGGGAACAGCCGGGAAACAAAGTCCCCCAGCCCCTCCCCAGACGCCACTGCCGATAGCTGGGTGCCCTGTCTTCTAGGTCTGATATTAGGGATATTTACGTTAGAGATATGTATGTAAGCTTCCATAAAAATAGGCAGCCGGCATGGCTTTGAAGGGCGCCATTTCCCCTCTGCATGCCTTCCGTCTCCGTACAGAGATCTCCCCACCCTGGGTAGGGGGCTTTACCCAAGGCCCTTGAGCAGCTTGACTAGAGCCCGATGCCTGGCAGAGGTCTGGGGGACTCCCATTCGCCATGGGTGGGGGCCTCCAGATTAGCTGTGCCCACTGCACCTTTGGGATGAGGTCCTGGGCTCCCTGAGGAGCAGGGGTGGGGGCAGTGGGCAGGTGGGAAGGGAGGGAAGGACGGTGCCCTGCCTGCCACCCAGCCACTGCACACCCCAGGCCCTGGGGTTCCTAGGCCCCTGCAGGCTCCGGTTGGCCTGGGGCTAGGTGGCAGGGAAGGGAAGGGCCTGAGGCAGGCAGTGACTGCTCCCAGGAGGGTCTCTGCCTGCGGTGGGTGGGGTTACAGTCCCACCTCCCCCTGGGTCTGAGCACCCCGTTGGTGGCAGGGAGGAAGCTGAGGGCGGGGGATGGGGGACAGGCCGGTCGTCTCTGAGCACCGTGGCTCCCACCCTGCAGGTCTGCCTCTTCTTCCAGAATCAGCTGTTTCGGGGCAACCGGACGACCAAGGTGGACGCTCGGAGGTTTGCGGCCTTCTGCTCTCCGAACCTGCCACCTCTGGCCACCGTGGGTGCTGATGTCACAAGTAAGCCCGGAGAGAGCAGGGCCAGGTGCCTGCCCAGGGCCGGTGCCAGGGAAGGGCTGCTGCAGGGAGCTGGTGGCTGCGACTCGGCAGAATTAAAGGGCACCGTGCCTGGCTGGAACTCGGCCTGCCTTGGTTTTGCCCTGGCCTGTGGACAAGCACCCAGCATCTGGTTCTCAGGACCAGCTGTGCGTCTGAGATCGGGCTCCGTGGCAGACTTCCCGTTGCCCCCGGGCCCCTCAGCAGGGCAGGATAGAGGAAAATGCCTGGCTCTACAGGCGAGAAACTGAGGCAGAGAGAGGCAGGCTCCCACAGGGAGGCACCGACGCAGGCCCGGCTCTCACCCGGTGCCTTCTTCCTGCTGCTGGCTCCAGCACCTTCTAGGGAGTGTGAGGCCAGTACCCATCGGCGTGTCTGACGCGTCACAGCGCCGAGTCTCAGGGGCCTGGGCTGGGGCCCACTTGTTCACTGAGGGCCGGGGCAGCCCACAAGGCTTCTTGGAGGAGGTGGCTTGTGAGCTGGTGCTGGCGGGGTACTTGCCCATGCTGGATGAAGGTATGCGGCCCCTCCAGCCCAGGGGGAAGGAGCAGCTGGAGGTGTGGGCGGCTGCGCTGTGGTCCCGGCTCCCCCAAGGCGCCTGACTCACACCTTATCTGGGGCTCAGAGTGGAGTTTCTGCTGGTGGGTGGACCCCACCCACAGGGCACAGAGGCCCATGCTCTGGGTTCCAGGGACTTCGCCAGCACCAATGCCAAGCCCGGGCAACCTGCGAGGCTCAAGTCACACCGGGTCAGGCCCAGGGTGGCGAAGTAGCTCCTGGGCACAGCATGAAGCCTGGACTGGATGGGAGGCTGCCCCGGCCCCAGCCCCCACCCCCCAGAGTGTTTCCCACATGCAGGTGGGTGTGGGAACCTGATGCTAGGCTGCCGGGCTGGTTCCGGCACCTGGTGTTGAGAAAGCCCAGGCCTTGCCCAGGGCGTAGCTGCTGAGGCCCTTGGGGAGAGGCATGGCTTGGCAATGCGCACCCCCACCCTCCCTGAGCCAGCTGGGGCCGCGATGCCAGCCTGGGCCAGGGTGCTGGCTGCCAGCACCCTGTCAAAGGCTTGTCCTGGGCTTTTTACCTATTGCCTGGGAAGTGAGGACTGGGCTGGTCCCGGAGTCACAGGCGGGCTTGGTGCTCCTGGCCGCAGTCTGCTTGGTGCCATGGGGTGGGGGGTATGTGTGGGAGGCTTCAGGAAGCCCTGCTGGCCCTGTCCTTTCCCTGTGTCCCAGGAGACCACACTGTCACCCCCGGCCACACCCTGTACCCTTACCCTTCCGTGCTGAACCCTGGCCCTGGCCCACCCTGCTGGGGCCCTTGGAGCAGAGGAGAGTGGAGAAGGGAGCCTTGCTGTGGGGTCAGGCCAGGCCTGTCACTCCCCAGCTGTGGTCACCCCAGTGCAGAGCCCCAGAGCCCTCCTTGTGCACTGGGAGAAGCCACCTCGCTCCCAGACATGTCCCAGCCGCCCCAGTTGTGCCATCCTTTGGCTCTGGTGCTCAGTTCCCTATGAAACAGGGCCTTGCCCCTCCTGGGGGCGTAGGGGCCGAGCCAGCGGGCCTTGCCTGGCCACAGGGCCACTAGCCCTCTTCTCTGCCCCTAAGCATGGGGCAGTCATTCCCTTGACCTCCAGGAGGCCTGAGTGGCAAGGACGGGGGCTGCAGGGGTGGCCTCCACAGGCTCTCAGGAGGTGAGGACGCAAGCAGGGTGGGCGTGGCCCTCTTTGTCCCGCGTAGCCCCCTCTGCAGCCACAGCGCTTTCCTGACGGCAGCAGGGCCTCTCCTCCCCGCTACGGATGCTCCATCTGCTTGTCCAGCTGAGACGTGTGCCCTTGGTTAAAGGACGTCTTGCTACTTTCGTGTGGGTCTGTGGCTGATGCCATGGCCTCTGGTGGGGTTGGGAGGCTCACAGCTGGGTCCCTGCTCCCCCATCCCCAGCACCCCACATCTCCCCGCTTCAACTCCACCGTGCCAGGAAAGTCCTTTTATCACATGCAAGCTGCTGTGGCAGAAGGGCCAGGGACACCTGGGTGGACATCCACCTGTGGGTCGGGAAGAGCCCTGTGTGGGGGGTCCTGCTGCCCGGGTTCCTATGCCGGCACTGTGCCAGGCTCTCCAGGTGCCCAGGCCCTTCCCCACCCCAGGCTTCGGTTTCTCTGGGCTGGGCTCTCTGACTGCCCTGGGAAGGCTCTGATGCCCCACAGTGCAGTGGGAGTCCTGGTGTCTGGCCCTGCTCAGAGGGAGGTTTCTGTGAGTGTGCACAGGGTCTTAGGGAACGGACCCCGTCCTCCCCGCTGGCCTCTGAGGGGTTGGGGGCTGGTTGGGAGAGCCCTGGGGGTTGAGTGCTGCCAGAGCAGTGGCCTTCAGCTTGAGGACAGGCGGGCCCTCTGGGAGCTCCTCTGCATCGCCGGGTTTGAGGGGCACTGGCCCCATATATCCACCCCTCTCCCCTTTCCTTGGGCCCTGCACCACCTCCAACACCTGCCCTGGGCATGAGGAGGAGGTGATGGGCGCATATTAGGATTTTGGGGTGAATCAGATGGAGGCCTCTCCCCAGAGGTGAGAGGTCCGAAAGACCATACATCTACTCACTCATCCACTCACTCACCCACTCACTCACCCACTCCCTCATCCACTCCCTCATCCACTCACTCACTCCCTCATTCATCAACTCTCTCATCCACTCACTCACTCATTTATCCACTCACTCATCCACTCCCTCATCTACTCACTCACTTCCTCATTCATCCACTCCCTCATCCACTCACTCACTCATCCACTCACTGACTCACTCATCCACACACTCACCCACTCACCCACTCCCTCATCCACTCACTCACCCACTCATTCATCCACTCCCTCATCCACTCCCTCATCCACTCACTCCCTCATCCACTCACTCATCGACTCACTCATCCACACACTCACCCACTCACCCACTCCCTCATCCACTCATTCATCCGCTCCCTCATCCACTCACTCATCGACTCACTCATCCACACACTCACCCACTCACCCACTTATTCATCCACTCATCCACTCACTCCCTCATCCACTCACTCATCAACTCACTCATCCACACACTCACCCACTCACCCACTCCCTCATCCACTCACTCACCTACTCATTCATCCACTTCCTCACCCACTCCTTCATCCACTCCCTCATCCACTCACTTATCCACTCACCGACTCATTCATCCACTCACTTCCTCATCCACTCACTCATCCAGTCACTCAACTCACTCACCCACTCCCTCATCCACTCACTCATCCACACACCCACTCACTCACCCACTCACTCACTTACTCATTCATCCACTCCCTCACCCACTCCCTCATCCACTCACTGACTCATTCACCAACTCACTACCTCATCCACTCACTCATCCACTCACTCACCCACTCACTCATCCACTCCCTCCCTCATCCACTCACTCATGCACTCACCCACTCACCCACTCTTTCATCCACTCACTCACCCACTCCCTCATCCACTCCCTCATCCACTCACTTATCCACTCACCAACTCATTCATCCACCCACTCATACACTCACTCCCTCATCCACTCACTCATCCACTCACTCATTCATCCACTCGCTCAACTCACTCGCCCACTCCCTCATCCACTCCCTCATCCACTCACCGACTCATTCATCCACCCACTCATCCACTCACTCCCTCATCCACTCCCTCACTCATCCACTAGCTCAACTCACTCACCCACTCATCCACTCCCTCATCCACTCATTCATCCACTCACCCACCTACTCACTCACTCACCCACTCATTCACCCACTCATTCACCCACTCCCTCATCCACTCCCTCATCCACTCACCCACTCACCCACTCACCCACTCACTCACCCACTCATTCATCTACTCCCTCATCCACTCATTCATCCACTCCCTCACCCACTCACTCACCCACTCACCCACTCCCTCATCCACTCACCGACTCATTCATCCACTCCCTCATCCACTCACTCACTCACCCACTCCCTCATCCACTCACCGACTCATTCATCCACTCATCCACTTGCTCACCCACTCACTCACCCACTTCCTCATCCACTCCCTCATCCACTCACTGACTCATTCATCCACTCATTCACTCACTCATCCACTCACTCACCCACTCACTCATCCACTCCCTCACCCACTCCCTCATCCACTCATGCACCCACTCACTCATCCACTCACCCACTCCCTCATCCACTCACTCATCCACTCACCCACTCCCTCATCCACTCACTCATCCACTCCCTCACCCACTCCCTCATCCACTCACGCACCCACTCACTCATCCACTCACCCACTCCCTCACCCAGTCACTCATCCACTCCCTCACCCGCTCCCTCACCCATTCCCTCACCCGCTCCCTCACCCGCTCACTCATCCACTCCCTCATCCACTCACTCACCCACTCACTCATTCACTCACTCATCCACTCATTCACTCACTCATCCACTCACCCACTCACGCACCCACTCACTCATCCACTCATTCACTCACTCATTCATCCACTCACTCATTCACTCACTCATCCACTCATCTCCTCACTCATCCACTCCCTCATCCACTCATCCACTCACTCTCCTACTCACTCACCCACTCATTCATCCACTCCCTCATCCACTGACTCATCCACTCATTCATCCACTCATCCACTCACCCACTCATTCATCCACTCAATCATCCACTCCCTCATCCACTCACTCATTCATCTACTCACTCATCCACTCATCCACTCACACACCCACTCACTCATCCACTTATCCACACACTCACTCATCCACTCATTCATCCAGCACTCATCCACTCATTCACTCATTCATCCACTCATCCACTCCCTCATCCACTCATCCACTCATTCATCCACTGACTGGGTGGGCAGTGGGCACAGTGGGGCCTGGTGAGGGGTGGAGGAGTCTGGCTGGCCTGATGATGCTGCCCCACGTGTGTGACCCAGTGCAGTGAGTGCTGGTGGCTCCCCAGCTGGGCCCGCCTGCCCACCTGCCTCTGCAGTGCCCACCTGAAGCCCCATGCAGCCTGCAGGATGCAGCTAGACTTCCAGCTCTGTGGGACCCTCCTGCCCCCTTGCCTAGCCAGCAGAGGTTCCCTGGGCCATCACCCTTGAGGCTGCCTCACACATTACTCGGCCATGGGTCTGTCGCTGGCCAGCAAGCGCTTCCTCCTCGGTCCCTTGCATGCTGTGGAGCCGGGCACAGTGTGGAGTGCGCTAAAGCCTGGGGGGATTTGCCTGTGGGAGAGGAGGCAGGGTGGAGGTAGCACTGAGGTTCCAAGGCTCTCAGGGCTCTGAAAGCAAGGGAGGAGGCAGCTGTGCAGAGGGTCTCCTGCTCGGCTGGCAGGAGAACTGTAGGTGCCACACAGGCCCTCCCTTGTCCCTGCAGTCAACAGGGAGCTGGTGCGGAGAGTTGGCAGGAAGGCCGAGCTGGCAGTGCATGGCAGCATGGAGCAGGACGTGGGGCTGCTGCGCCTCTACCCCGGGATCCCCGCTGCCCTGGTAGGGACCGCCCTGGCCCTCCTGCCCTGTGGCCCTGAGCCCCAGCCCTCTGCAGCTCCATGGCTCCCAGGCTCCCTGGGGCCCTCACCAGCCAGGGCAGACCCACATGGACCTGGGATGTCCGCAGTATGGCCCACTGGCCCAAGGCCCTGTCCCCTGTCCCGTCCCTTGTCCCTATCCCTTGTCCCCTGCCACCCCCATCCCATGTCCCCTGTCTCCTGTGCTCAGTACTTTCCAGCCTTCAGGGAGCGGGCAGGGCGGGTGTGCGGCTCGTAGCTGGACGAACGGGTCCTCCATGCGGGCCTGGTGGCAGCTCCTCCACCAGATTCCAGCTGGCTCGGCCCCCCTGCTGTGCTGGGCAGGGGTGTTAGCTCTGGGGCCTCTGATGGCCTTCTGAGCTCCTCTCCCACCTCTCTGAAATGTTTCCACAGTGTTCTGCCACAGAAGGCCTTCATCCCCACAGATAGGGCAGCCCTTTGGGAGAATGTGGGGGGAGCAGCCCCTCTAGATGGCAGCAGCCATGCATGCCTGCTGGGAGCCCCACTATCCTGGGAGCAGAGTGGGCACTGGCTGCTTCTGGCTTGGGGTCCCTCTCCTTGGGAGGGCACAGGGCAGGCCTCGGTGGTGCCCAGGGCAGAGACCCTCACCATCCAGCCCCGACCGCCCCACAGGTTCGGGCGTTCCTGCAGCCTCCCATGAAGGGCGTGGTCATGGAGACCTTCGGCTCAGGGAACGGACCCAGCAAGCCCGACCTGCTGCAGGAGCTGAGGGTGGCGACTGGGCGCGGCCTGGTCATCGTCAATTGTACCCACTGCCTCCAAGGGACTGTGACCACGGACTATGCCGTGGGCATGGTAGGACCGGGAGAGTGGGGCCTAGTGGGGAAGGGGATGGGAGGGCGGGCTCTGACCCACCCACCACAGGCTTCGGGCCGGGGTGAGTGCCCTTCCTGCCCACACGCCCCCTCCTTGCAGGCCATGGTGGGAGCTGGCGTCGTCTCAGGCTTCGACATGACATCAGAGGCTGCCCTGGCCAAGCTGTCGTATGTGCTGGGCCAGCCTGGGCTGAGCCTGGATGACAGGAAGGAGGTGTGGGCGTCCTCGGGCTGTGGGGTCCTCTTGGTGTGCACACGTGTGTCAGCTGGCTCCTGGGGCATGCCTGGGGTGACGCAGGAAGAGACGGGCTGGTCCAGGGTGTGCTCTATTTGGGAAGGGAGGGATGTGGCCCTGTCTGGGCCCAGGCTCCACCTGTCCTGGCACCTTCTCAGCCTGCGCTGAGACCTGAGGCTTTCCAAACTGTTGCCAGGAAACCACCCCCTGCCTCCACTCTTCCTGGAGTGTAGGGCTCAGACCCAGCTGGCCCCAGACCCTTGGGCTGCCAGCCCCTGGGGCTGGGCAGAGGCCTTTGGAGCCCCTGAGCTGGTAGGGCTGGGGAGTGGGTCTGGCCCTGCGAGGGGACCCGAGGGATGGAACATCAGGCTGAGGGCACCCCCGGCTGTGCCCCAGGAGCCGGGCCCTCCAGGATATTCTGGGCGGCTCATCTGGCCCTCACGGAGCCACTTCGCCTCTGCTCTCTTCCCCAGCTGCTAGCCAAGGACCTTCGTGGGGAGATGACGCCACCCTCGGTAGAGGAGCGCTGGCCCTCACTGCAGGGCACCACGCTGGGCTGTGGGGTCTCCTGGCTCCTCAGTCTGAGTGGTGGCCAGGTAATAGTGCGACATGGGAGCCTGAGTGGCAGGTGGGGGCTGTACGCCCTCTCGGTCCCCCTGGGACGCACCAGGCAGCCATGAACCCCTGTAGCCATCATTCCAGGCCAAACAGCTAGGCACACCTGGGTTCTGGGGCCCAGGAGGAGAGGTTGCAGGGTCCATGGAGTAGCATGCAGGAAGGACTAGGTGGTGGGCAAGCAGCAGGGACCCCGGGGGCCAGGCTTGGCAGGCGCTGCCTTCTGACTGGCAGCACTGCCTTAGTGTGGGGCTGCCTGGGGAGCTGCCTGTCTGGGAGACGGGTGGGGGTCTGGGGCGGGGGGTGCTTGCTCTGGGCTCTTTCAGGCTCTGAGCATCAGGGGTTCCAGGCCCCCACCTGAACCCCGGGATGAGGGCCAGTGTTTGAGCATGTTGTCTGCACAACTGGGGTACCTAGTCCTAGGAAGGGGTGTTTTCAAGGCCTGGGGTCTGAGGGGGGTGGGGCCTCCATGTACCCTACAAATGCCCCCTTGGCTAACTGGGTCAAGCATCCAGGCCTGACATGGGGCCCAGTGGGCCAGACAGCCTTCCTCCCCACTGCCTGGGGTCCTGCCCCAGGCCTCAGTGCCTCAGTTTCTCCCATGCAGGGATGTACCTGTCTTGTGAGCCATTTGCTGCAACTGCTGGGGTGGGTAATGGGCAGATGGAAGGGGCTGGTGTGTGTGGTGTTGGGGTGGCTGCATGGGGCCTGAATGCTCTATGGAGGCAGGCTAGAGGTGGCAGCCCTGTCACCAAGCCATGCTGTGCCCGCTGGGCATGGTGGCACCTGTGGGGCCTCTGCCAGGACCCCAGCCTTCTGGCATTTTGGGGAGCTCCTGGATACCAGGTGCTGGGGGCAGGTGGCTCTTCTGGGAAGGTGCAGCTGTCGGAGCACGGCATTTCTTCCAGGGGAGGGGCCTGGCTCTCCTTATGCTCCCCTCATGCAGGTAACTTACGATTCTGTTCCAACAGCGGTGGGGACAGGTGGGAGAGTCTTGGAGGGTGAGTGGCAGGCCCTGGCCACACACCTGGTGAGGACAGGGCCAGATGGTGGCCTCATGGCCTGGCCTTTGCTCCCAGGGCAGGGGTCCTAGGTGGGCCTGGGTGGGGCGGGGTAGTGAGGCTCAAGCCCAGGCCTTCCGACGCGGCAGCTCAGGTTCCTTCTCACCCACACCCTGGGCTCCTCGGCCCCCTGTATGTTGGCTGGCAGGGGTCACACGGCACCAGGGACCGCCGGTTCTGCCGGATGCCAGAGGGAGGTGTGGGTTCCAGGGTGCCGCCTTCCCCACCCAGGGGGCGGATGCCCTGCGGAGCACCCTGATACCCAGCCTGGTCTGTGCTGCCGCCCAAGCTGGTGACCTGGAGGTGCTGCAGGCGCTGCTGGAGCTGGTGAGCCTCCCCAACCCGGGGCACAGCCCCAGACATGCCTGGCCCGGGAGCTCTGGACCCCTGCAGGCAGGAAGGCCTCTCATCCACCCACTGACCACACTAAGCCCTCGTCTGCCAGACGGGGCAGTGGGGCCGTCCTGCCAGCTGGTGGGGTCTCACTGTGGCTTTGAGGGTGGGCACAGGGGCTGTGCTGGGCCCCATCCTCAGTGGGACCCCCCCCATGGCCTACCTGGCCCTGCCCGGCCCTTGCTCAGGGGTCGTATGTCCTCGTGTCACCCCAGGGCAGTGACCTGAGCCTGGTGGACTTTAATGGCCAAACCCCGCTGCACGCGGCTGCCCGGGGAGGGCGCACAGAGGCCGTCGCCATGCTGCTGCAGGGAGGTGTGGACGTGAACGCCCGGGACACGGACGGCCTCAGCCCGCTGCTGCTGGCTGTTCGGGGCAGGTATTGGGGCCAGGGCCCTCCAAAGCTGGCTCCGGCAGGTGGGCACAGAGAGGCCGAGTTCCTGTGTTCACACAGCCTCCTGGGGCTGGGCTGGGAGAGGCTGAGGACACCTGCTTCCCAAAGGCTGCCCACCCAGCCCAGGGCCCAGTAAGACCCCACCGAGAGTTTTCAGAAAACAACAATGGTATGGATGAAGCCAGGGGGTGCCCAGGTGCTCCCCGAGTCATCCCCGTGCACCTGTGGGTATGGGATGTTGGGGTGGAGGTGGGGCAGAAGGCCCTGGCCCAGTAGCCAGACAGGGTAAGTAAGAAGCAGGCTAGTCGAGGCAGATCTTGGGTGTGACGGGCCACTCGGGGCCTGGGAGACAGGTCCAGCCCGTGCATGTGGGAGTCCCTGGCAGGTGTCTGTTCCCTAAGCCCAGAGCAGGGACAGAGGCAGAGTTCGAGCATGTGCCCTGCGGAGGTGGGGCGGGGCCGGCACTGGTGGGATGGGGTCATTTCCCCCTTCCTACTGATTATTGCCCTGGATACCCAGCAGCCTGGGCCTGGGAAGGCGGAGGGCCTGTCTGCCAGTGTCACTGCCCAGACCCACATGTCTGCTCGGACGGAGACCCCAGCGCTCCTGGAGATTGCCCCTGGGGGTGGGAGGACTTGGCCTGCAGGGCCCTGGGTTCTTTTCGGGGAGGGAGTACTCAGGAGTCCGTGAGAGAAGCGCAGGTGGTGTGACCCTGAGGTGCCCAGTCATGGGTCCCCTCCCCAGCGGTGAGCCCTGGGGTGGGGTGTGGCGCCCTTTGTGAAGGGGAGGACTGGCGTAGAAGGTACTTTCCAGGGCCTGTGAGCATTGAAGGGGTACTCAAAGCAACAGGAGAGAACAGGGTGGTGGACAGGAAGGGGAGGGGCCGTGAAGGTGCTCTCAGCCCCCAGGCTGGGGTGCTCCAGCCTGGAGATCCTGGACGGGGCGTCCTTGAGCGTGGGTGGGTGGTGAGGAGGGGAGCTCACACAGTCCCGGCCCCTCGTCCCCTCCGGACTCACAGGACCAGGCTCACAGCAGCCTCCTCACCGGTCTCCCAGCCTCACTCCCCTGCCAGGCTCCCGGAGGCCGCCTGCCTGGCTCTGTTGTGCCCAAGTGCGGTTCGGGGAGGCTACCGCCTCACACCTCTCCCCAGCCTCCTAACGGGGGTGACGGGGGAATTTGTGGTGCTTGGCAGAGGTGGGGGCGTGGTCCACGGTGATGGCGCAATGCTTAGGTCACCCCAATGGGCTCTGTGGCTTCGGGCCCTTGTGCCTCTGCCCGAGGGCCTTGCTAGAGCCCCGCCCCCGCCCCCACAGACTCCACTGTCCGTGCTCCCTGCCCCCACCCCACCCCAGGGGCAGTCAGCAGGATTGATTGTGTTTGGGGGCGTGATCAGTGTTGGGGTGTGCAGTGGGGCCTGTCAACTCCTGTGAGGCTGTCCTCTAGTTGGGCTCTCCCTTGAGATGGGTGGGGGAGACCAAGCTGGGAGAAGCCAACGCCCTCCCCTGTGGGGCTGGGTACGGGGGTGCTGCAGAGTTGACCCCCCACTCCTTGCAGACCTGAGCCGTCCTAGGGAGGTATTCTGGACAAATGGAGGTGGTGGGACCCCGAGATGATGTCACGTGGGCCGGGGCAGAGAATTAGGGGGATGGGCCCTTGTCTGAGGCTAGGGCTATGGGGTCCTGGGAAGGCAGGTCCCTGTCCCCATGCACAGGACGTGAGCTCTGCTGGCTCCTGGGTGAGGTGCAGCAGGGCTGGGCTGGCCAGAGCAGAAGGTCAGCGCACTCCTTCTTATGCAGGCATCTAGGCATCGTGAGGTTGCTGCGGGCGGCCGGGGCCTCCCTGTCTGCCCAGGAGCTGGAGGGGGCAGGGACAGAGCTATGCAGGTGAGCTCGGCTGGAGCGCCTGTGCCTTCAGAGATGTGGGGACACAGCTCGGGGAAGGAAAGGCAGACCTGCTGGGAGAGACAAGTCAGTCAGGGTGTGGCGGCTTCAGAGGAGGCCCACTGACCGCCGCGTGCACCATCCTGGCTGACTGGAACAGGGGTCTGCCCTGCACCATGGCATGGGGCAGGGGAAGGGGTTGTTTCCAGCTGAGCGAACAGCAAGGGTGTGTGTGTGGGGGGGGAGGGGCGGCCTTGAGGAGGGGTATGGGAATTGGTGGTCCGGTGTGAGAGGGGCTGGGCTATGGGCTGGAGGGTGGCTGGGGCTGCATTTGGGCAGGATGGGGCAGGTGGGGCACAGGGGAGCTGAGGCCCCTTGCAGGTGACAGGTCTCGTGAGCTCTGTTCTCCCCAGTGTGGTTCCTATCCTGGGATAAACTGACCTAGGCCCAGCCCCCACCTGCTGACCTCATGGCACCAGTGGCCAATGTGCCTTCCGAACACATGCTGCCTGAGTGACCACCGAGGCAGGCTCAGGGCTTCTGACGTCATGTTATTGTTGGGGAGACTGAGGCGCAGGAAGGCCCTCGGTGCGGGTGTTGGTTGTGGGGCTGAGTGGAGGTGGGCCAGCGCTGCAGGGATCTCTGTGGCAGCCAGAGGCGCTTCCCCTCCCCCACCTTGTGCCTGGTGACTTGGTGCCGCCTCCTGTGCCCGGCCTGGGCTGCCTGAGGCCAGGATGGCTCCGAGGGACCCAAAGGGAGAGTCAGAGGCAGGCGGGGACCTGGGCCGGGTACAGGTGGGGGCTGGGGTGGGGATGCTTCGAGTGTTGGAGTGTGTCCCTGGAAGTCCGAGTCCCAGGCTTGGATAGTGGGTGCTGGCGGAGGCTCGGTGGCCTGGCTGGGTGGGGAGTGGGTGGGCCAGCAGCCCTGGCTCCTCCTCTGGACAGGCCCACAACCCCTGGGCTTGCCTTTGAAGGGATGTCTGGGGTGACTTGGTCCAGATTTGCACTCTAGGCAGGTCTTGTTGGCTTCATTGACAGATGGGGAAACTGAGGCAGTAGTCAGGTCCTGTGGGAGCTGGGACCAGAACCCTGGTCCAGGACTCTGCTGGAAAGTGGGCCTGGCCAGTCCAAGCTGCTGGGTGGACACAAACCACTCAGCCAGGCCTTCCTAGGGGCCAGTGTGTTTGTAGGGTTTGGCCTCTTGGGGCGAGTTCAGGAGGGGCCAGTGGGACCATCCAGAGGACTCACTGCAGGGCTGCCACTGTTTCCTGGGTTGGAGCAGAGTCCCTAAGGGCCCTTCAGAGGAGGGAGCCAGCCCCTCCCTCGCCAGGCCACTTCCCCCACTGCACACCAGGGGTGGGGCCCTCCCTGTGGGGTCCCACCTGGCCTGCTCCTGGCCTCCCCAGGTGGGGAGTGGGTTCTTCCCAGGAGGGTGGCAGGGTGAGGAGCTGGTGAGAGCCTGGCTTGTCAATCCTGGGTGGCTGGGCCCAGACCCCTGTCCCAGCCAGGAACCCCATGCCATCTGCCAGGGTCCAGGCCCAACTGCCATCCCAGGGTCCCCTGTGTCCCCCTCTCTGAACCACTGGGTTGCTTCAAACGTTTGTTCCTTCATGTGGACCCTGCCCCGGGAAAAACGGTGTTGTGAAACGTGAAACTAGCGTGGGGCCCTCGGCCGGTGGGCGTGCATGTGTGTGTGTATGCATGCTGGTTGTGTGTGTGTGTGTGTGTGCAGGTGCACACTGACCTGTGAGTCACAGTGCCACCCACTGGGTGACACCAGACTCCAGGCTGCCCCATCGCCCCAGGGACTCCTGTCCCAGGACCAGGCCGCTACTAGGTCAGCTGTCTGGGGCTGGCTTTGTAAGAGCGTCCAGGGCACCTGGGGGACAAGCAGGTGGGCAGATGGACAGGTGCCCAGCGGACCCCAACAATTCTTCCTCTGTCCCACCCCCAGGCTGGCATCCAGGACTGACCTCAAAGGCCTGGAAGTGTGGTGGCAGGCAGGGGCTGACCTAGGGCAGCCGGGTTATGACGGGCACAGCGCCCTGCATGTTGTGAGTGCCCCTTCCCCCTGTACCCTCTCCAAAGGCTGCCAACTCCAGGAAGGACACCCAGACAGTTCACCAGCTGCCCCTTTGCTCCATCCCCAAATGCCCGGCCCTCCCCGAGCAGGACCATGGGACACTGTCCCCTTCTCGGAGCCCTGAGCGGTGGGGATGAGGAGAGTACAGGAGCCTCTGGGCCTGTGTGTGTGGGCTGGGAGCAGGGAAGGGAGTCCTGGTGACGGGGATGCTTGGGCCAGCTGCTGGTCAGTGGCCCAAGGCAGCCCCTCCCCACTGCTTCCCATAGGCAGAGGCGGCTGGAAACCTGGCAGTGGTGGCCTTTCTACAGAGTTTGGAGGGTGCAGTTGGTGCCCAGGCCCCAGGCCCAGTAAGTCCCCACCCAGGTGGGGCTGACACCCCACAACCAGCTTCTAGTATGTGTGGCTGGACCCTGGCTCAGGGGCGTATCCAAGGGGGACAGAGCCGGGAGGCTGAGATGGATCCCAGCTAGCCTAGGGGCTGCAGAGACCCTCCTGGGGGTGTCTGGGGCGGAACACGGTTTAGAGGGAGGGCTTCCTGAAGGAGCTGACCAGACCTGAGCACTGAGGGCCCAGCATCCTCTCACCCACCCCTGCGCCCGCGCCCTGCCCCACCGGGCCCCCGAGGCTGGGTGCTTCCACCTGCCTCCCAGGCCAGTTCCCAGCTGACACCCCCATTCCCACTCGGTCACATGGCCCTCCCACAGTCTCACGCTGGGTGTGCTCTGGCTCGGGCAGTGCTGCACAGACTGGGTGCCCGGGCTTGTCTCTCTGCCCTGCCTTCGCGTACTACTTGGGCCTCCACATGTTATAAGGAGCCCTCATGTTTTCAGGAAGTGCTGCCTGGTGTCTAACCTGAAGTCCTCCGGCTGCAGTGTAAGCCATTCCTTCCTCCTGTGACCTGCTGGAAGGTCTCAGGCATGACCCCCTGCTGGGGCTGCTTCCCAGCCTGTTTTCAGGCAAAGCCTGAAGGCCTTTGTTGGGCAGAATGGCAATAAAGTCTCTGGGCATCTCCTCCCCAGGTCCCCAGAGCCTGGTTCTGAGTGGGTCTGTCTGGGTCTGGACTGTGGCTGTGTGTGGAGGCAGGCCCAGGCTCTGTAGGGGTGAGGGGGGCACTTTGCCCATCCTTCCCAAGGCAGCTGTGAGTGTGAACCGGGTGGGGCAGTGCTTACGGAGATGACCTGGCCAGTGGCCAAGCCGGTCTTCCTTTCCCAGCCTCGCCCCTCCCCCTCCTGCCACCCTGCCTTTATTCAGGCTAGCCCTTCCTCCAGACACCCCCTGCCCATCTCCTCACCTCCTGCACCTTCTTTCTGGAGCTTGAAGTCACCTCCTCCAGGCAGCCCTCCAGCCCCTGGACAAGCACGCTGCTCCTGCTTAACTTTAGTCCTCACAGCCCCTCCTAGTTGCTGTCTGGTTTTCTGTCACCCCAGCTTCGCTGCACCTGATCCCCATCTCAGGGCGGGGCCCCACCAAGACTCCAAGCACTGCAGAAGCCCGTGAATGTCAGGGGGGCCCCTTGGGACCTTTCCGGCCCCTGCTCTGCCTGAAGCTCCTGACAGCCTCCACTGTGAGCCAGGCCACTCTGCAAGGGAAGGGGTGACCTGGGCTGGCCTGTTGGCACAGCCTGGGCAGGTGGGTGCGTGTGGCGGTCCCTGCTGCTGCCCAGTGTGGGTGCTGCGGGGCGGCCTCGTGCCTTCTTTCAGCTGGGGCTGAAATTGGGGTTTCGGACCCCTGGCTCCCGCCATGTGTGCATGCACGGGCCTGGGATGGTCAGGGGCTCCCTGCTGCCACCCCCAGCCCCTGACCCCTTCTCGCTGTGTGAGGAGCCTGGGAGCTGCCTCCTGCCAGGCCTCTATCTGCCCAGGGGACGGTTCCTGTCTGTCCCTCTGGCTGGTCCCTGGACTGGAGGCCCAGGAGGGCAAAAGTGAGACCCCAGAGTTGGCCCTTGGCACCCAGGCACACCCCGGGCTCCTCAGCCTGGTTCCCAAGCCTGGCTGGCACTGCCGCCTGCATCCTTGCTGTCCTCACCCCAACACGGGTGTGCCTGGGCCTTGCACAACAAGGTGATGCCATGAGAGCATGGCATGGCGGGGCTGGGGAGGCCCTCGCTCCACACCCTAGTGAGGCCTATGGGGGGCTGCAGGGGGAGGGAGGGTGGTACAGCACCCGAGAGCCAGGAGCCTCTGCTGTCCTGGGATGGCCAGGACCCTTGGAGGGCCTTTTGGGAGGCAGTGGGACAGCTGGACAAAATACCTGGGGCAGGTGGGGAGTGGGGAGACCACCTCCAGCATCCCTGGGCTGAGCCCACCTGACTGGCTCAGTCCCGAGGGCTGGGCAGAGCCTGTCACTCACACCACCCTGCTCAGCGCTGTTCCAGGCCCTGGGAGCCCCAGGTTGTGAAAGCTGCAGGTGGCTCACGGTAGCCCACATGGCAGCACCCTCCCAGAGCAGGTGCCAACCTGCCAGTGTAGACACAGCCGCTGACGCCTGGGGTGAGTGTCCTGTAGTGTGGAAAGGGCCACTCAGCCTGCGTGTCCCGCAGGGAGCGCTTGCCAAACTGGCCTTTCTCCAACTGGGCCACTGACAGAGTTTGGCAGAGAGGCTTGAGGACCACAGGGGCAGGGAGGGGCTGGGCAGATGGGGAGTGCTCCTCACAGGGCTGGAGGAGGAGGCCACGCCTCCATTTTCAGACCCTCTGAAGCCTTGTGGGGTGCAGGGCCCTACCACAGGGAGCCCAGGACTGGCCAGTGTCTCGGGAGGCTATGAAGAGTCATAGGCTTGAGTCTGGGAGCTTCCTTGGGGGCTGTTTTGTGGCCCTTGGGGAGAGGTCAGAGGGTTCCTGGGTAAGGGGACTCCTCTACAATCACCCAGAAGTGGCAGGGGGTGCCGGGCTGCTGTTCAGGGCTCCCTGGGCTCTTCGAGGGGCAGTGACCTGGCCCCGAGGCCTCTGGGTCTCTGGTGTGCAGCGGGAACAGTGGGATAGACAGGCTTGGAGCATGGTGTCCTGCTCCAGGTTGGTGTGTTTTGCCCCCACTGTGCGCCTTGGAGGGCACTGGGTCCCTGCCTCTCCCACTTCATGGCTGAGGAAGCTAAGGCGCAGAGTGGCCCCATCCTGTGCCCAGGGCTCTGTGTTGGCACAGGGCAGAGCGGGGCTGTGAATCAGGGCATCCTCGACTCTTGCTGTGGCATGAGGCCATGGGAGATGCAGGAAGGAGGCACAGCTGGGTGCCCGGTGTGTGCAGGACCCACCTCCCCACAGCGAGGCGGCATTGCTCACACCTGGTAATTTCACGCTGGGGGAGGCCTTGCTTCCTACAGCCCACCTCAAAACACCCGGACCTCAGGGCTATCCCTGGGAGGCATCTCTCCATCATGGCTACTGTCTTTCTAATCAGCCTTTTCTATCCTAAAGTCAGACTCCTAGGCTGAGGACCCTCCAGGGCCGTGCCTCCCCTGCTGGAGGTAACCAGACTTCTCCTGTGTGTGAGGAAGTTCCCCTTCTGGTCACATGCCAGTGTTTCCTGCGGCTGGTGCGGGTGCTTGTCAGCTTCTCCCTCTCCTCTCTCATCAGTGCCCTTGGATGCTGGGCATGGGACCATGTTTGCTGGGCAAGGAGAGCCCACCCAGGTGGCTGTGTGTCAGGAGGAGTCTGCCAGGACTGGACTAGACCAGGGCTTAGAATTAAGAATAGGGGAGGTGGCCGGGCATGCCTGTAATCCCAGCACTTTGGGAGGGAGGCTGAGGGAGGTGGATAGCTTGAGCTCAGGAGTTTGAGAACAGCCACCATGGCGAAACCCTGTCTCTAAAAAATAAATTCAAAAATTAGCCAGGTGTGGTGGTTTTTTTCAGTGGTCCCAGCTACCTGGAGGCTGAGGTGGGAGAATTGCTGGAACCTGGGAGATGGAGGTTGTGGCGAGCCGTGATTGCACCACCGCACTCCAGCCTGGGTGACAGAGGAGAGCCGGGTTCTTCCTACCCCTGCAGCTGTGGAGGGGGAGGAGCTCCCAAGCTCCTGTTCTGGATCTCAAGCCCCTGTGTCTCTACTTCTGCCCCTACCTCCATGCCGCAGCTGCTTGGATGCCACACACAGGCCCTGAGACGCACAGATGCAGCGATGCCAAGGCCTGTTGGAATCCCCAGAAGTCATTCCTGTTGGAATGCCAAGAGCTGTGGAATCCCCAGAAGTCACTGTCCCTCCCTGGACCTCAGTTTCCCCAACTGCAAAATAGAAATAACAAAACCTTTCTGATTCCCTTTCCAGGGCGGCTGCCATAGTTAAGCCACACACAGCACGTGTGGAAGTGTCTAGGGGTCCCTCAGGTCTGGTGGCTGTGTTCTGGTCTGGGGTGGACCTTGGCCTCTGAGCACAGAGGCCGCCGGGCTCCTGGCTGGGCGGCAGTGGGATGGCGTGTCACTGCCCTGCACTGGAATGAATGATCACCGCCCTGCTGCCCAACGCTGCACAGGCACAGCAGTGGCTCCAGACTTGGGGCAAGTGCTTAAGCGGGTCACCTCCCCCTCCTTCTCCGTACTTCCTAGAGCCGGAGCCCTCCCCTCAACTGCTGTGTTCTGCTGAAACAGAGTCCCTGGGAGGCGCCACTGGTCAGGCCGGGACACCTCCAGGTGACTAAGTGGCCAGCTGCGCCAGGGCGTTCGTTCGGGGCTGGGCTGTGTGTCGGGGGAGCGAGGTGCAGGCTCCTGATGCGTGAGGGGGCAGGGCGCCCCTCCCCCCGCGTGGGAAATGAGGAGGCAGGTACCGGGCTCCCCCCACCCCATGGGCTGCTGCGCTGGGGTTCAGGGTCTGAGAAGCAGAAACCTGCTGGACGGTCTCCTCCCTCCCTCCAGTTTCACTTTCTCTCTCTCCCCTCCCACGAAGTTCCCTTTGAAGTGAGAGGGGCCGCGGTGGGTGTGTCCAGCCGCCCCGACACCCAGAGGGGCAGGCCCAGCCCTGGGCTCGCGTCGGGCCTGGGGCCTGGTCCTCACCTGCCCGGGCCTCCCTGGGTCCCGACGCGGCTCAGGTGGAGCCCCGGGCCCTCCGTGCGCCGAGCGCCCCACTCCCAGACCAGACGGTGCGGGCGCTGCCCGGCGGGGACCCCGACCCCGGGAGGCCAGGTGCGCCTAGGCCGGGCGCTGGAGGCGAGGGCGCCGGGCGGGCGGGGCGGCCGCTGAGTCAGGGCCACCCCCGCGCGGGCGCGCGGAGCAGGTCCCGGGCCGTGGAGGATCTGTCGCGGGACCTGCGGGCCCGGAGCCGCCCCGCCCGGAAAAACCGGTCGGGCCAGCGCGGCGCTGGCGCATTCCGGCGCCGGGAAGGGCGGCCGCGCGGCATAAAAAGGCGCCGCTGCGCTGGCGGCTGCCGCTTGGAGCGCAGCCGCCTGCCACGCTGCGCGCGCGGGACGAGAGAACGTCGGGGCCGACGAGGACGCGGCGGGGCTGGACTCTGCGGCCGGGATCCCCTGTTGCGCCTGGCCGGGGCGTCTGAGGCGTCCGGGGCGGCGTCGGGGCCGGGAGGCTGCAGCAGGGCCGGGGGCGCTCGGCCGGCGGGGATCCGGGCACAGGGGCGGGTCCGCGGGCGGTCCCAAGGGCGTCGGGGCTCCTCTCTCCGCAGCTCGGCAAACCGACGGTGTTGCGGACTCGCGCGCCGGGTCCAGTGGTTCTTAACAGTTCAACAGTTCTGTGGCGCAATTGTGAAATGTTTAGGACCACTAGACCCGGCGGGCCCGGCGACGGCGACAGCGACAGCGACGCAGCGTCCCACGCGCGGCCTGGAGTCAGAGTCACAGCCGGGGGCGCGCCGGCGACCAACCCAGGGAGCCCACCGGCCGGCTCCGCGCTCCAGGCCCGCAGCCGCAAGCGCCGCGCCGCCCCCGGGCCCTGGCGGGCCCCGCCTGCTGCCAGGGTAGACCCTCGGCTTCGGAGCCCGGTGCTGCAGGGAGGTGGCCGGGGGCGGCCGGGCTGAGCTCTGGGAACCGCCGGGGTTGGGGGCGCGCTGGTCGCCCACGCTCCTGGCGCGCTGCCCGCCTGGAGACGCGGCCGACGCCCTCCTGCGCCCCGAGGGCCCCCACCTCGAAACTCCGTGCAATTCCCAGCGAGGATCTGGCGGCGGGCCCGCAGGGTTGAGCAGCGCTCCTTGCCCTGCGCTTCCGGGGAGCTGCGGCGCCCTGCTGGCCAGCCGGCGGTTCCCGCTGCTTCTCTTCTCACCGAGGCCTTGGGGCGCGCTGCGCGGCTCCTAAGAGTGTGCTTTAAACGCCTGGAGGACTTCGAGGCACAGAAACTGGGAGTGGGGAGGAAGTTTGGAGGCCATACCCAGGTAGAGGAGAGGCGGCGCCCACGATGACAGGCGCCTGCGCCAGAGTCTCCTTGGGCCTCGTTCGTGGTGGCGCCCACCGGAGAGGTCGGCGCCAGTCTGGGTGTGAAGCCACAGGCGGCCCTGGGAGGGCCTCAGCAAAGGGTCGAAACTGTCCCCACCTCCAACCAGGGACGAGGGTTTTCTGCCAGGTGCTGCCTGGGCTGCTGTGTCCCGCAGGGTGGAGGGTCCCTTCCAGTTCCCACCTCCTCACCCAGTGATTAGAGAGCTGTGGGGCATCCCCGGGGATGGGTCAGACAGGCCTGGGTTTGAGGCCTGCTAGGGTGGCCTTGGGCCAGTCACCTGCCCTCTCTGAGCCCCACCTGCACATGTGGGGGGTTGATGTGAGGAGGCAGGAGGTGACTGTGGAGGGCTGCACTGGGAGAGGGTCAGCTGCAGGACAGCAGGGTCCCCTGGCCACCCAGGTGGGGGGAGTGGGGTTCCCGGGAGAGCATCCACCACTGGCCAGCACCTCCCCTGTTGCCCAGAAAATGCTACTGTGGCCACCTCTCAGGCTCTGGCTTCAGAGCCTGGGGCTGTGGGAGTGCCCAGCGGGTCTCTGGCATTGGAGGGGCCGGAATGTCTTGCCCAGCTGCTGCCTGCTGACCACCGTGGCTCCTTGTGGCCATTTCATTTTACAAGCATGTTTCCCCACGCCCTCTGCATGGGCCCTCAGCCCTCAGCAGCGCCGTGAGAGGGGCTGTGTTCCTGAGCCGCAGCTTGGAAGCATTCTGTTTGGAGTGCGTCTGTACGTTTTAGACTGACAATAAACACGTTCCAAAGCATCGCTGTGTCCCTGGGGTCACTTGTCCGTTTCCCCCAGGCTTCAGTGTGGTTTTTCCCTCGAAAGCAAACCACCCATTTCCTTCTAACCTAAGCAGAAACCAGGATGGTTGGTGGAGGGGCAGTGGCCTGGTCCTTACCCAAGATGCGCCCCCGCCCCCAGCCTCAATTCTGCCTCTGGCACTTTGTTCTCCAAGGAAGCCCCTACCTCAGCTCCAGCTTTCTCATTGCGGTGACCTCTCCAGGCCACTGGGCCAGATGCTTCGCCTTGGGTTTGAGCCTCACTGCCTCAAGGAGCCAGGGTGGGGAAAGGGCTTGGCTCCCATGGGCCCCACTTTCAGGAGCTCCAGCCTGCGCTTGCCACCCCACCCCCACCCATGGCACTGGTCTCTACTGGCTCCTACCCATTCCCGCTGGAACCTGTAGGCTGGCCCTGGGGACCTGGCCAGGAGAATGGGCAAGGTGGGAGGGCAGAGGGGTTGAAGAGATAGAGGCACCTTCCTGTACCCTCCCTGCCCCTGTTACAGGGGACCCAGAGGCCACTGTGTATTCAAACCCCAGCTCTATGCTTATTAGCAAGTGACCTTGGAAAGACCCTTATCCCCTCGGACCACCTGTTTCTTCCTTTTGTAGGGTGACGTGGAGCTCGATGGAAGTTCCTCTGAGATGAGGCAGCAAACTCTCCGCGTGCTTAGCTGGGCAGAGCTGTCACCGGAGCTGACGTGCTGGGAGGGCTGGTGGGGGATCCTTGGACAGGCCAAATTTCAGCCAGGGCCTTGGAGGACCAATGGAAGACCCAGGTGGCCATGAGGTGTGGTCTCACAACAGGCCCCCGCTTGGTCCCTGGGGACACCAGGAGGACAGGCCCCTACTTTGCTGAGAGTAGAACTGTGCTTCCCAGCAGCCCAGCCTCTCTGCTGCGGCCTCTCCAGCCTCTGCCCCTGACTCAGGTGGAGGATGGCTCCTTAGGGTCCATTCCTTTAGCCACGGAATTCCCCAAGAGAAGCGGGGCGTGCAGAGCTCCTGGGCTGCTGGTGAGGACGCATGCCATGGTTCTGCCCGGGGAGTATGAATGAGGCAGATGAAACTTCTGGGTGGAACTGGGCACCATGGCATTGAGCTGTGCGGCTGTGTCACTGGAGGGCCACACCGGGGGAGGGCAAAGCATCCCGGCACAAGGCTGACCAGCCTGTCCAAGTGTGCCTGGGTTTTTCCAGATTTGGCACTGAAAGGTTCTTGCGATCTTCCGAGTCTGGGGCAAACAGGGACTGCTGATCACCCTGCCTGGACCAGCTCATGCACACGCTGCCCTACCCACCTGGGCAGCCCAACAGCATGTCTTTTCCATAAGAGAAAGGAACCTTCTGCCTTTTAAAGCCTCTGTTATTTTGGTCTCTGTTAAAGTAGCGAAACCAGTATGGGAAGGCAGGGGTTCTGACTCACCGCAGAGGCCCAGGCTTAGTGAGTTGGACGGGCAGTCGGCATCGATCTGTCTTCACCAAGTTCCCAGGTGAGCCTGCTAAATGCCCAAGGCTGAGGGCAGCCGTCTTAGGTGAGAGGACTCAGGAAGAGAGACGGGCTGGGGGAAGGGG